TCTATCCTCTCCACAATTATACCCATATACCGATTTTCAATTTCCTCTTGTTTTTGTCCTCGCATTGTTTCCCTCTTTTTTCCCCTCTTTCTATTTCCAGGTTCCTTCTTCTACCCCCAGATTAACCAGAACCTATCGCCAATCCTACACGTATTTTCCTCGCATATCGGACCCCAATCTTTCCTAACACACCCCTTACCCTGGCTGGGTTCCTCCTTTCACAAGTGAAGACGACGGCGGCGCTTGCTGCAAAGGTGAGCGTCTCCCTCCACTGCTTGTCCTCAGCATACCTTCGCGGGAACAGAGTTGCCAGCGCCCTCGGCGCCACAAACAAGGCCATGTCCTTCCGTCGACTCGCTGTCTCGAGCAGCACACTCCACCCGCACATGAAACAGCCGCAGCCTACGCACACGCCGCCATCGATCTTCTGTCGTCCAGCAAAGTCTTTACCCACAATGTGTGGGCCGATGCGCGTCCGGCCGAGGCAGACGCCGTAGTAGAAGAGCATGATGAACACGCCCAGAAAGGCGGAGGAGCGAGACGCGGACAGCACGGCAGTGCGGATGCCTTGGACGGTTGGAGGCTTGCGAAGTTGCATGGCGAGGTTGAGGGGAAGGTACATGGCCATGCTCCAGCGCCATGAGCGGACGAGACGAGACAGGGCGTGGTACTCGCACGACGGGCCGCAGCCCATGTGCACCATCTCGCAGGGGAAAGGCGCCGTCTTGGCAGGATCGCCCCAGATGACAGGCCACTTGTAGTCCTCACACATGGACTGCAGAAGCGGGGCCTGGCCGGTGTCCTTGCCGTAGCGGAGATCGCCGGATCGGCAGCGTCGTAGAGCTTCGATGAGGCGGTTGTCGACGGCAGCGGCGGAGCTGATCCACCTTTGATAGGCCTTGGGCAGGCCCGAGGGGTTGTAGAACCATGCCCACATAATGAGAGCGCAGGAGCACACAAAGATCCAGGGATCGGTGGAATGGCCAATGAGGCTCTCGAGCTAGCATCTTGTCAGTGACGTGAGTCGTGACCGAGGATCGGTGTGCAGCATACCTTGGTCCATTTCTGGCTCGCTACGCGTCGAGCTCGGCGACGAGACCACAACTCGCCAACAAGGACGTCTACTGCGCGTGTAAAGGCAAAAAGCGTCATGTCAAGAGTGCGACCGGCCATGGCCACCTTCTCCTCCTTGACGCCCGGGTGGACATTGGTTCTGGTGGGGACCGTTTTGGTGAATTTTGAACATATGCGTGACTGCACCAGCCGGAGGCTGAGCCAGGCTGCCACAAATGTCGACAACCATCTCGACAGCCTTGAGAGAAACAATTAGCACCTACACAAAGATGCGACATTTGGCAGCACCACGGGTGAGACCAGGTTCGTCCCAAGGAGGTGGCGCCTAGGCATGTTAGACATACCGCGTCCGTGTCACCTCACTGAGATGCCGTGCAACACGATGCAAGAACAGCCGAAATAGTTCCTGGGGAAAGACAGGTGTCAGTTTTGGGGAAGTGATGGAAGACATGGAAGGATGGAAGAAGGCAAGCCAAGCCAGAGCCGAACTCCACTGACCTCGAGTAATGTGCTGCCGCCAGCGAGCAGGGCGCAGAAGGCGGGGAACCTGCGCAGTTCGAAGCCAGTCAAGATGGTATGATTCAGCGAGGACAGGAAGGATTCATGCTCCTTTTGCGCGCCCGCAGATGCGCCGCTTCGCTTCCTGGCAGCCCTGGAGACATGTTGGAGCAGGAGAGTCAATAGTCTAGGCGCCACGGAGGATGCATATCCCAAGAGGTATGCGCGCACCAGAGGTCTCAGGAGAGGCGGGGTGCCGGGAATGATGTCGAGGGGCCCTCTTCGGGAGCTCAGCAGCTGACTCCGAGGTTGCATGGCGGGCGGAAGGAAGCGATGACCGTAACCTCACGGATGGCCGTGGCCGTGGCCGTGACCGTGACCGGGGGGGACTGAAAAACGGCGTTGGGGGTTCGGAAGTATTCGCGTGCCTGCGTGCCTGGGCCAAGGGAAGATCAGCATGTGCTGCAGCTAATGGTGGTTAGATGGCAGGACGTCGGGGCTATGATGTAAGTGCTGAGGGACGTTGGGCTAGCCGATGCAACGCAGAAACAAGCCATTGGGTACAGTGATGAGGGGACAGACAATAAGGTGACGCGCGCTATGCCGGGTGTCGTGTGCCTCGCGCCTCACGCCTGGTGCCGTGGGTCCACGGTGTGCATGAAAGACGCAGGTAGGTGAGAGTAAGGCACATGATCTTCGTGTCTAGTCATGGGCTGCTTGCTAGTTGCGAGAACGACTTTATGTGGGGGATAGAGGATGCGGTCGAGATTAGGTTATGACGATTTCCCTCGGGCGTCCGCGGGCGGCATAGCGTTCTATGGCTTCACTCGAAGAGGACCGGCCGACGAGATAGACGGGCCCCAAGAGCACGAGCACCTCGTGTTGGGGCCACTTGGGGGTGATAGGCAAGGTACCTAGGTAGTTCAAGGGGAATAAAGACACGCGTACCAAGGTAGGGGAGGGTTGGCGACGGGCCGCTCTTACCAGGGGGTTGGTCGAAAGTGTGTGTGTGTGTGTATGTGTGCTGTGCTTGTCAGGATGATTAGGGTTGGACCAAACTCAATTGTATTGGGTCGGATCGAGGGATGAGAGTCGCATTGAGGTAAAAGATCTGAGCGATGAACATGGATGCGCAGGTCCCGAGTAACCACTCGCCCAAGAACAGACTCGTCCAGAAACAGGAATGCAAAACGAAAGAGGCTGAAGAGAGAGTTTGATGCGGCAGCCCAAAGCAGGAGACCAACCGAAGGCGTAGAAGGGGGAAACAGGTGGTCAAATGTGGTACTAATAGAGAGCGTTGTTGACATATGCCAGAATCACAACGGCCGAGGTTCTGGTGCTATCAAGCCGTCTGCCCTGCGCAGCCGTGGAGTGGTCTTGCTAGTGCCAGGCCTGTCCCGCTCGTGGGGTCGATCAAAAGATGGGGAAAAGGCGAAGCTTGTGCTTGTGATTGCGAGAAAAGGCACCGAAACGTTCCGACCCAGAGTGAGTTTTGAGCCGACTAGACAGGGCTCTCAAGCCAACAACGACAACTGGCACTGGCAGGATGGGATCGAGGATCAGAGGGCGATCCCCAGGCGCCGATGTGTTTGTGATTTCGCTTATGGCTTGATGCCACCGCCCCTGAGCAGTCACACTGTAGAGGCTGGTGTCACCCGTCCTGAAGAGGAAATCGTTGGACGCAGGCCGAGGCAACGTGTGCTTCTGATGACCTAAGTGTCTCGTGCTTCTGACGATGGGATGGGAACGACAACGATGTGCTGTGGAGGGCTGTCCAGGCCACCATACATCGGACGAAACGCCGAAGGCAAAGCCCGCCAGGACAAGAGGGGGATAGCCAGGGGACGAGATGTTGCCTGTCTCTGTCTCTGGTGCTTCTGTTCCTGCGGGAATACGCAGAAATCAAGGGTCGCGACCGTGTCCGAGTTGCCGTGATCTCCACAGCTTCGGCTCTAGCGTCAGGGCAGATGCGGAAAAAAAAAAGGAGGCTGAGGCCTGGTGCCGATACCGATGCTGCTGTTGTTAATCAAGATGATGATGATGATGGGAGAGGAAACATGACCTCGCCAAGTGTTCCGGTGTTTCTGGTGGGCTGGCGAGTTGGTCCTGCGCGGCATTAGCAATGGCGTGGGAGCTTCCTTCCTTCGTCAGACAGGCCAGACCAGATGAGGCCAGACCCAGGCCACAGTGGAGGCGTCCATTAGAAATGAAAATGGCATGTGACACTCCGCTATCGTCATAGCATGGATACCGCAATATGCCCCTGCGAATCGACCAACTTGGTTCCTCTGACAGCCAATGGCAGACGGCAACAGCAACCCCCTAGAGCGATATTTCAGGTAGCCAAGGTAGCCCAGGGCTAATGTTGGGGAAAGTGGGCGGGCGTGCTGCACCTGCGTGCACCTGCACCCTCCCTCAAGTGTGACTGCCCAGGTGGCCCATCAAAGCCAGCACCCAAGATGGCCCTAAAGCAGGAGTGGGCATCCACCTCTGGCACTGGCCGCCCCGGATTTGACAGGGATCTTAGCACCAGGTGCCCCCCCTAATTCCTTCCCCCCCCAGAAGCAGCCCGCAGCCCGCAGGCCGTAGGTCAGCAGTAGCAAGCTGGCTGGTCCTTCCATTCGTTTTCTACGGAACCCGCCAGCCTGCCTCAAGGAAGCCACGGGGCCCACGGACACCGCCTCTCAGACCCCAGAACCCCCAGACAAGGACTCAGACCTAGCTAGACCCAGACCCAGACACAGACCCCCCCCAAGGGCATCTTCTCCATCTTCACCTGCCTGCACACCTGCACCTGCACTTGTACCCGCACCCATATCCTCAACCTCGACACAAATTCAACACCACTCAACACCACACACCGCACCACCACCATCAGCCTCCACTGAGACCTGATCCGCCTACACCCTCCCTGCCCCCCGTCCCAACCGATCACGGAACACGCCGGCTTCCTCGCTCATCTATGTCGCCAGCCCACTAACGCCTGTGTCGTCTCTCGTCTGCTGCTTCAATCTACCTTCTCTTTTACTCTCTCTTTCGCACCTACTCCTTTCCACCCTTTCAGACACCGAACCGACGTACGACGCGGCCAGAGCTCGGGCATCCGACATCTCAGCCTCACCGGACGCAGACATTTTGCCGCTCAAGCTGGACAGCGCACCTCTCTCTCAGCCATTGAACAATTTTTGATTCCCATATCACATATTCTACACTGCGCCTCAGTTCGACGAAAGAGTACCACAACCACCCCTCCATATCCCCGGATTCCAGCAATCTACCGCGCGTCATCTGTTCACAAGATCATCTTCCGTCATCTTCACGTGCCGCAAACTCGACAATCTGCAACGCCTAACGCCGGCGCATCCTCTTGAGCACAGCAACGCACATTCCAAACTCGAATAGCAATCGTGGCACCTACCTCTGCCATGCACATCAGGAGACCAAGCCCGTAGAATGCGACAAACCTGGGCATTTTGAACCACCCAGTTTCCCTCGAATATACTTTGAACATCCACCACAACCCTTTTCGTCCAAGACGCATCCATGCTCGCTGTACAACGTCCCACAATGGGTTCGTCGCAGCCCTCGGATTCGAATATGGTCTTTGGCTGTAGGCACCCGCCCTTCACACCGGTCGCTTACAAGCAACAATCATACTGACAGCATACTGCTTTAGATGCCATTGACGAGTCGCAAGACTTTTTTCTCGACCCGCCACCCGAACCCGCCCCTGGCGCGCCCATCCTTTCCGACAATGACTCGAAAATCATATCCTCTTTCTTCGACGACATGACCGCCGACCACTACAACGTCCCTTCCTTCGGCGAGGGTCTCAATTACAGCGACGCCTGGCTGTCTCTGCCGCCCCAGTTCATGGGCACCGCGACCTCGCTGGGGCAGGCGTCATTCGGCGCGCCGCTGCACTCTCCAGGCCACGAACTGCACCACCAAGACTTTTCCGACCTCATGCCGTTAGGCTCTGCGATGATGCCGCCACCACCGCCGCCACCTCCACAGCACATGATGTCGCATCCCCGCCCCTCGGTCGAGCAGCAGCCATCACCCGACGTCCTGGCGGCCGCCACATTGTTGCAAAATGGTTCATCCTCGCGACACCACTATCATAACACCGGCGGCTCCATGTTCTCGCCGCCACATAGGGGTATCCCCTCGCCACTTAGCCAGCAGCTAGGCCAACAACTGCGACACCAGCCGCTTGAGGAGTTCAAGCGCGCCGAACGCACCAACGGCTTCGCAGAGAGTAGCATGGAGGAACAGCATTTGGGCATGTTTACCGATCTCGTATTTGGTCCTTCACCCGCCGCTCCCAGCCGGCCGGCCCCGCCGCCTCCTAGGCAGAACCATGTGCCGATGGAAATGCAATGGGGATCGGACGCGCGCTTCAGCAGCCGCCCCCACAGCTTTATTCCAGACTCGGCGGGCGAGACGTACGATGCACTGTCAAAAAATCAGTTGCGGCACATGGAGTGCCTCGAGCCCAGCCGCAGCGCATCGAACACTCGTCCCTCGTCTCCGCTGGTCAATGGTGAATCATCGGGGGCATACATGAAAAAAGCGCCAGAGTCAGCAAGCACCCGCTTGGAAGATGTCCCTGAAGGCCCACCCCGTAAGAGGAGGAAGAGCCGAAGCGCGAAAGAGGAAGACGACGATGGCTCGGATGACGCAGAACCTCCCCTCAAGGGAGCTCGAAGGAAAAAAGGAAAAGAAGTCGCCACGGCGAGTGGGCAGGTACCGCTGCCAACAGCAGAAAACGGCACGAGCGGGCGGCGGCGCAAGTCAGCAACGGGGCCGAAGCCGCAACGAGAGAACCTGTCGGAGGCGCAGAAGCGCGAGAATCACATTCGCAGCGAGCAGAAGCGGCGCACGCTCATCAAGGAAGGGTTCGACGACTTGTGCGAGCTTGTGCCAGGGCTCAAGGGTGGTGGTTTCAGCAAGAGCACCATGCTCACCATGGCGGCC